AGTATAATGTGTACATGATAAATACATACAATTCAATTTGTTGACTTAAAAATAAATTAGGGGGCTGGAGTTTTGTTTGGCTCAGTGGTAAGTGCTCACCTAGCATGCATGAGGCATTGGGTTTGATCCTCAGCACCAAATAAATATAAAATAAAGATATTGTTGGGGCTGGAGTTGTGGTCAGTGGCAGAGCACTTGCCTAGCATGTGTGAGGCCCTGGGTTCGATTCTCAGCACCACATTTAAAAATAAAATGAATAAAATAAAGATCCATCAACATCTAAAATAAGTTAAAAAAAGAAACATATGTGTCCACCTAAAACTAAAAATTAAATATAAAAAAATAAATTTAGAAAGAAGAAAGAAAAAACTTAAAAAAATTTTATGCTGAGAATCAAACCCAGTGCCTCACACATGCTAGGCAAGCACTCTACCACTGAGCCACAACCCCAGCCCCCACCCCTCCCGCCGAAGAAAGAAACTTTTATAGTTCAATCAGACATAACCCTTGTTCTGTGTTTTGATATACTTTGCTCTGTGTACTATTTTTATATGACTATACCTATTTATGTCTTAGTTTTTTCTTAGGTCTTAAACACAACTTTAGAATATATATATTTCCACATTTGAAATGCTTTGTAAAAATTATTCTCAATTTATATTATATTTTTTTCAGGAGAGTACCTGGTGATTGAATCCAGGGGTGCTTAACCACTGAGCTATATCCCCAGCCTTTTCATGTTTTATTTTGAGACAGGGTCTTGCTGAGTTGCTGAGGTTGGCTTTGAACTTATGATTCTCTTGACTCAGCCTCTCCAGCACTGGCTTGAATTTGTATATTTTAATTAATTATTAATTCTCATGTTGTTGAAAATATTTTCATGTTATTTATATCTTTGTCTTTTAAAAAATTTTATTTCTAAATTTTATTTTTCTGAGGTGGGGTTTTACTCTCTTGCTTAGGCTGGTTCAAGCTCATGGGCTCAAGTGATTCTCCCACCTTAGCCTCCTAGTGCCAGGATTATAGGTTTGTGCAACCACACCTGGCTCTTTGTCATTTTAAATATTTTGTTCTTTTCATGTTTCTAGGTATTTTGTTTTTAACATCCTAGTTTTGGGTACTATGGTTGAATATTCATTTAAGTTAAACTATTTGAACTAATGTCCATCATCAAAGAGATATCTTTGTATTGGTATTTCTTTTTTCTTTTTTTTTAGTATTTATTTTTTAGTTGTAGGTTGGCACAATATCTTTATTTCATTTTTATGTGGTGCTGAGGTTTGAACTCAGTGCCTCCCGTGTTCTAGACAAGCACTCTATCACTGAGCCACAACCCCAGTCCATGTATTGGTATTTCTTTATGGAATTGAATGATTTGGAAACTGTTTTCTTTTTCTTTTTTTTTATATTTATTTTTTAGTTTTAAGTGGATACAATATCTTTATTTTACATTTATGTGGTGCTGAGGATCGAACTCAGTGCCTCAAGCATGCTAGGCGAGCACTGTACCACTGAGCCACATCCCCAGCCCAGGAAACTGTTTTCTTTAAGAATTTTCCTCCCTCAGATATGTTGGTCCAATATGATATTTTAATACTATGGAGCTACTCTCTAAATGCTATTTCTCAAGGTACTCTCCCTTAGTAGTTGGAAGGTAACATTTATTTTTAATATTTATTTTTTAGCTTTAGGTGGACACAATATTTTTATTTTACGTTTATGTGGTGCTGAGGATCGAACCCAGTGCCTCATGCATGGTAGGCGAGCACTCTACCACTGAGCCACAATCCCAGCCCCTTATTTATTTTTTTTAATGTTAATTTTTTTAGTTGTAGTTGGACACAATACCTTTATTTCACTTATTTCTTTTTATGTGGTGCTGAGGATCGAACCCAGGGTCTCACATGTGCAAGACAAGCTCTCTACTGCTGAGCCACAACCCTAGCTCAGTAACATTTATCTCACAGTTATTTCTCCTGACCAGTGTTTCCTTTTAGCTCATTATATGTTTGTACAGTGTTTTTAGTTCATTTGTGTGTTGTCCTCCCAAGTGAACTAGTAGGGAGGACAGTGTGAAACTTGAAATGCACGCATTCTGTGAGCATATTTAATAACAGCGTTAGCTTGCTTTACAAAAAGCTGTTAAGAATAATGGTGGTTTTCCGCTTATGTAATTTATAATGTTAGTATTCAGCATATACTCAGTGGTGTGATTTCTTTATGGTACCACCTAAACTTTTTTTTTCTCCATTTCTAGGTTGCCATCACGAAAGCCAAAGTGGATTTCTCCAGTGTGGTGTGCCTGCCCCCTTCCGTCATTGCTGTGAATGGCCTGGACGGAGGAGGGGCTGGCGAAAATGATGATGAACCTGTGCTGGTGTCCCTGTCTGCGGCCCCCAGCCCCCAGAGTGAAGCGGTTGCCAATGAATTGCAGGAGCTCTCCCTGCAGCCTGAGCTGACCCTGGGCCTTCACCCTGGCAGGAATCCCAATTTACCTCCACTTAGTGAGCGGAAAAATGGTGAGATCATATGGAATTATTGCATCACCTGATTTGAACCAGGATCTGTATGTTTCTCATGCTACAGATTCTTTACTTCATGTCTCTTGAAGGTTTTTAAGAATCTTAATATTTCTTATAAAATAAAGAAATAGTGGTAAGTTTAGGTGATCATGATAAGCCCTGCATTTTCTGCCTGTGTTGCTTTAATTGCTTTTGATTTATCTTCCCGCTTCTCTGCTTTCCCCACCCTGTTCTTCCCATGAGTTAATTAATTCAGCAAATACTTATTGAACACTTATGTATCATTGAAGTTTCCCAATTAAGATTAAAGATTAAATAGTAAACAAGTCTCTGCTTTTAAACTTTATGTGAATGGAATCATACTACATGTATTTTGTTGGTGATTTCTTCGATATATTTTTGAAATTCATCTATGTTGATTTGTTTGTGGCTATAATTAATTTTCGTTGTTATATAAGCAATTCAATTTATTTGTCCATTTTACTGTTGCTCTTTTGTTTTTCTGTGTATATGTGTGGGGGTATTGAGGGGTGGTACTAGGGATTAACTCAGATTTACCCCTGAGCTGCTTTCCTAGCCCTTTTTAATTTTTTGAGACAATATCTTGCCAAGTTGCTGAGGCTGAACTCAAACTTAGGAACTTGTGATCCTTTTGCCTCAGCCTTCTGAGTTGCTGGAATTACAGTCAAGTGCTACAGTGCCCAATATTAAGCTGTTTTACTTAAGGACTATTATGAATCTTGCTGCTGTGAAATTCTTGTTCATGTTCTTTTGGTATATCTGTTGGGATTTTTATTTGAAATATATTATTTATAGATAAATGGGGAAAATCGGCTTTTTTAAATATATAGGTCTTCTTGCTCATTAATTTATTTTATCTCTGATTAAGTGAATTTTCTTTAATATTTTATGCAGTTTTATACATTTCTCTATAAAGGCCGTGTATATATTATTAGTTTATTGCTGAGTTTCTTATTTTTGGTAGATGTTATAAATGGTATTTTTAAGAAACTATTTTCTTTTTGATGCCAGGGCATAGACCTGCCAAACCTTTTCAAAATCCCTATGCCTTTTTTTTTTTTTTTCTTTTTTTTACATGCAATGCCCTCTACTTGGGATGTCCTTTCTCTCCTAACACTCTTTGCTGTCTCTATTTGTCCTTAAGGATTCTGTTCAGGTCTCAGTGTTTTTGAGAAGTCTTTGCTAAGTCAGAGTCACTAACATTTCATTATGGTCTACTTTAGTTGGAATTCTTTACTCAGCCAAATGAATGAGCTTGGGAAGACCAAAATCATTGTTAAACTCCTCCCAAAATCCTGCAGTGCCTTCCCATGAGGCTTGTGATGAAATCTTACTTGTGATGACATGGCCTGGTATCTTTTCTGACCTCATTTCTTATCACTTTTTTCTAGCTTACCCTATTCTGTTCTAGCTACACTGACTTTCTTGCTGTTTCTTGAACACATCAAACATGCCCTGCACGATTTTCTATTTGTTTCACATTAATGTTTGGATGAATATCTTTTAAAGCCTTTTCTACATTTTAGGCTATTTCTTAAGAAGTAGAGACACTGACTTCAAGGTTTTGACCATTTTTATGTTGAAAATTTATTCAGTGACTAGGGATTTCAGTTGAATACTAAGTATTAGTATAAGTATTGAATACTATGTATTAATACTAGTAATGAGCAAGAATTCTCATCTAGAGAATTTTGTCTTAGAATTTATTGTTCTGTGACAGAAAAAGATTGAAAAAAGGGTTATATAAGCCAATTCATAGTTACAGACTTTGGTAATTGCTTTAAAAAAAAGCACAATAATACAAAGCACAATTTTAAAAAAGCACAATAAGGGGCTTGGGTTGTGGCTCGGTGGTAGAGCACTTGCCAACATGTGTAAGGCACTGGGTTCAATTCTCAGCACCGCATATAAAATAAATATTATAAAGGTCCACCATCAACAACTAAAAAAAAAAAAAATTAAAAAAAAAAGCACAGTAATTCTGTAATAACAGAACAACAGAGATTTGTGTGAAGGTTCTGATGTAGTAAAGCGTTGGTCAAGACAGACCTCTTAGAGGATAAAGATTTAAGTTGAGGGCCAAAGCACAAGCAGTTGTTTGCCAAAGAGAAAGAAGGAATAAATAGCATATGAGAGGCTGGGGGACAAGCAAAGGTTACGGGGGAAATTGGCAGGAAAAAACTAAAAAAATTCCAGGATGTCTATGGAGACGGTGATGTGAAATAAGTAGTTAGGGGCTAGGCCACACAGTCCTTTGTAGATCTTATTAAGAATTGAGGCTGTGGGGACTGGGTTGTTGCTCAGCAGTAGAGCGCTCGCATAGCATGGTGAGGCCCTGGATTCAATCCTCAGCAAGAAAGAAAGAGAGAGAGAGAGAGAGAGAGAGAGAGAGAGAGAGAGAGAGAGAGAGAGAGAGAGAGAGAGATATTGAGATTGAGTCCAACTACAACTAAATAATATTAAAAAAAAAAAAAGAATTGAGGCTCTTGAAAAATACATTGTCCAGTGATATCTCAAGTTGCCTACCAGTTTATACTTCTGTCAGCCTTGTATGAATGCCTGGTTCATTAATTAGCTTTGATATTCTAACTTATAAATAACAACAGAACAAACAAACAAAAACTTGCTGATGTGACAGGCATAATGTTTTCATTTCAATTCTTGTTTAAATGCTAAGACCAGTTTCTATTTTTTTAAATTAATATTTATTGCAAGAGGTACAAACTCAAATATTCAAAGAGGCCAGGCAAGCAGTGGAAGTAAGAAAAGAAGGCATTTGTTACATTACAGAGAGTGTTAGGAAGTGTAACAAATTTGAGAGCAGACTCTGTCTGAAGTGGGTCTACTATAGGATGCTGTTGTAGAGCTAATTGTTACTGTGTCAGAAGGCCAGCTTTGTGTTGCTGGATTTTGTCATGCCTTTTTTTTTTTTTTTTTAAAACCCCCATTTCAATTTGTATTTGTTTAGTTACTAGAGAGGAGGAACCTTTCCCCAAATGTTTGTGGCCACTGGATATTTCATATTTTACCACGCAGTTCATTTTCTTATTATTTTAAAGGTTCTTCCACAGATATGCTAGTTACAGACCAGGAACCACTTGCCAGGAATTTGTACAAGAGTTTCTTACATGTTCCTCATGCTCAGTACTCTGGATAAGAGGCTGGATCAAGTCAAGACTGGTTCCTTTGATTTTATTTTATGATTAATAGAAATTTTAAAAGAACTGGATAAACTCTGATGCCTTTATTTTTTTAACAGCTAGCTCATATCATTCTTCCTGTAAGAAGCAATCCAAGTTTCTTGTTAGAATCAATTGCTGTTTCTTTTACATTTGTTCAGCTCATGGTTTGGTTTGTATGATAATTTATCATTTCTCTTTTTCCTTTTTTAAAATTGTTGATTAAGGATTTTTTATCCTAGATTTCATTCTAGGGGTCTTGAGGTCAGGAGGTCTTGTTAGTCTGAGTCATCCTTGTCTTTGTGCTGCTCCACTGGTGTTGACATTGTGCATAGTGACAGTATTGCAGGCGTACAGTATGAATGAGACAGCTGTTCATATTTATGGTTATTGCAGCCCTCAACATTTACTATACCTTGTAAAGTGAGCTGAAAATATAGCCTTCTATCCTAAGGTCAAATAATAACATACCTATGGTAGTGTGTGATTCTCCCAAGTTTGCAGCTCTCTACTAGGTTTCTCAGTAGTAGTAAGCTACACAGGTTAGGGAAGCTGCCCAGGACCTGGAGCGACTTCCCTGTGCTGGGTCATGTTATCTTTTGGATGTTTCACTTTGCTTAACACCAGGTATCTGGGGTAAAGTCTTAACTGGTTGGAACCTTTGTAATTTCAGTATGATAATTAGATTTTTTAGAGGTAAAAACATTACATGTTTCAAATTAGCCAGCTGTATTCTGTTTAGATGATCCCAGTTTTGTTGGCAACATCCAAAGTATCATAATCAGGAGCCGTTTAACATATGCTGCTCTCTCTCTGTCAGGCCTGATCAGGGTGCTGACCTTGGCTACATCAGTTTCATGGAGCTAGCTTCTTTACAGATCTTTTAATCTGGTGCTTGTTGGCCTTGACATCCACAGTGAACATAAGTGTGTTTGCTTCTACCATCTGCATGGCCAGCTCAGTGATTGGGGGAGCTTGATGATGGCATAGTGATCAAGCTTATTTCTTTGGGGTGCTCTTCAAGGGTATTTGGGCTAACTCTGGAGCCACAGGGTCTTAGGCTTCCAGAAGGCAGGTGACGTGTGGATCTTTTAGATAACAAAATAAAGATGCCTCAAGTTTTTGTTGTTGTTGTTTTACTAGGGGTTGAACCCAGGGGCACTTAACTACTGAGCCACATCCCCAACCCTTTTTTGTATTTTATTTAGAGACAGGGTCTCCCTGAGCTTAGGGCCTTGCTAAATTGCTGAGTCTGGCTTTGAACTCATGATCCTCCTGCCTCAACCTTCTGAGTCTGGGATTATAGGTGAGTGCCATGCACCCAAAGATGCCTCAAGTTTGAGGCCAGCCGCAGCAGTTTAGTGAGACCTTGTCTCAAAATAATAAATAAAAAGTACTGGGGATGTAGCTCAGTGGTTAAGTGCCCTGGATTGGATCCCTAGTACCACACACACAAAAATGTAAATGGTGGCCCTGAGAGGGGCAGAGAGAGAAAGAGGAGCCATCTGGGACTCTGGCGGAAATGTTAGTGAGGTAGAAAACTGGGATTTTCAAGAAAACTTAGGAAATGGGAAGTTGTTTTTTTTTTCTTTTTAAAAAATTTTATTTAGAATACCTATTTGTAGAAGTTAGCATAATTTTACAGATAATTAGAAAAATTTACTTCTTTTCTCTCAGCAAACATGTATAACAGGTTAGGAATAATAGATTAGAAATGTAATACATTATAAAACAGTATCCTGTGACTATCTGTACATTTACTATGCACCTTAAGGAAAAGAATTTGACAATGTGCTATACTTACACTGCAGATAACATACTGTTATTTTGTAATACAAAACTGACCAGTGATAGTGCTTAAATTTATAAGTGGCCATTAAACAGAATTTTTAACTTAAATGTGTATTTAGCATGTTAAAAAGTGAAAAAAAAATTAACTGAAGTTTTGTGGCCTGTCAGTTCATATGTTTCATGGCATTTTTCTTTAAAGGAAGAATATCAATATTGTAATGCTAAAATAATTTTTCATGATAAATAGAAAATGGGAAGTTTTAAGGAGAGTATTAAATCCAGTGGGAAGATCAACTATTACACAAACTTGGCTGGTTCCTCTTGATTATGAACATCAAAGGCCTTTGGGCTGCTATGGGGTGAGGGTGCAAAAGCTAAACACAAAGCTATATTATTGCTATGATTAACAGCCTTGTTAAAAGCATTTCTTTATAGCCAGTTAAAAACTGCTACATTTAAAAACTCTACTGATAAGCTACTATATTATGTTCCTAATAGAGACTGTAGATCATCTTAAAGTTGTGTTGATTAGCTAGAGAGTTATGATTAGATGCAAAACTCTTATTTTATTGGAAATTAAGATCATTATCCTTCATTCCCTTCGTGCTGTTAGTTTGAAAATCGTGTTCATTTATACAGAAACCTTATTATAAGTTTAGTTCTGTTTGTCGGAAATGTGACTAGTTTGCACCAAAAATAGTGGAACCGAAGCTGTTTTGAACCATAGAGATTCAGACTTCACAATTGTGAACCCCATTTAAAAAAAAATTATATACATTTTAGTTATTAATGGACCTTTATTTTATTCTTGTATTTGTATGTAGTGCTGAGAATCAAATCCAGTGCCTCACACATGCTAGGTAAGCGCTCTACCACTGACCCACAGCTCTAGCCCCGTGAACCCTGTTTTAAAGCCTGTTTTCACAATGATTCTGTTGCTTTGCCAATGCTTGTAAGTGTAAATGCAAATTCTGAGCAATGAGGAAAATATCTGTTGCTTCTTATTTCCTCTTCTTTTAAGATTGCTTTTTTAGATTTCCATTTTAAAAATAGGTTTTCTTTAGATCCTTTGTCCTAAAGTGCATATAGGTGTGGACTTGCTGTGGCGAAGTGAAATCAACTTAAATGTGCTGTTTTATTATTTCTACCATTCTACCATTATTATTTCTACCATTCTACCATTCCACAACTGTCAGTATTTCCTATAGGGCTGGATATTGACACTTGGAGCATTGCAAGTACTCTTCTCCCCAAAGAGAAGAGTTTGGGCAGGAGGAAAGCAACCCTATGCCCTTCCTACCATTTTCTGTGCAGAAATCTTATAATTTGTCTTTATTTTTCTGTAAGGATAAAACTGTGAGAACTTGTGTCTTTGAAAAAAACTCACACAGCAAATTGTACAGCCCACAGAGGGAGACAGGAATGACCCAACCTTTTAGGGATGCTTCTTCTTCAGTTGCTAACCTCTGACCAGACTCTCTTGTAGTCTGAGTTGAAATTTACCCATTTTTCATAAGATAGTCAGAGAGCTTGGGTGCCAGAAGGGACCAGTGAGAATGCTGCTGCCTCTCAGAGCAGCATGCAGCCCACACTGGCTGCCGCTCTGTTGCCAGTTGAGTCATTCCCACAGTTCTATATAGAGCTCTTCTTTTAAACATCATGTTCTTGGAGAAAGAAAGGAAGTTTTTCTCTTCCACAGAATCTTCCCCACCCCAACTCTGCGTTGCTTTCTCTTTTCTAAGAATATTGCTCTCACTCACTTAGAGACTGTTCTCTTTTAAGGTCTCCTAATGCTTTCATTTATCATTTGTTTGACTATGTAAGCTTTAAAGTATTTGCTGTATTGAGGTTACAGCAGTAGGCTTTCAAGATATGGGCTGCTACTTCACCATTAAGATTGAGAAATTCTAGACAAACAGACCAAACATGGATTTCTAGCTTTCAGCTATTTAAAAGTCCCTCAAATTTGCCAAAAGGCATCTTAATACAATTATTTATAATGAAATACTATGATAATAAAAAGTACCACAAAGGGCATGAATGAGCTTTTAATTTTGGGACAATAAAAAATTGTATACATGTAGTTTAAAAGGATTTTGGTTTTTGTTTTCATTGGACAATAAAATACCCATGTTTGTTTTTATTCAGAAGAACTGCTCTGTGATAGTGGAAGAAGGACTGAAGTTTCATTATCAGGGAAGGGAAATTCTCATACATTGAAGCTGCCTTTCTATTTGCTCTGTATCCAACATGAACATTAAGTATTTTAAGAAAGTCAACATCAGTAAGCTGTCTGTCCACAGATAGCATGTCTCACATGGTTGCAAGTAAGGGGCTCTTTTAGAGGACTGGCAGATCTGAGCAACAGATTACAGCTCCGGAATGTATTCTGATGACTTTTTGAAACAGATATTTTAATTGGAGTGGAGGTGGAGAAATAGTTGAGCTTCTGTAGTTAAATATTCAACTTCCTTAGCCTGTTATCTATAAATATCACAGATGAAAAGACTGTTAGGATTCTCTTCCAGAAAATGTACTTAGTTTACATATTTATTTGTATATGTTTAATATGTGTCTAATTCCTCTCCCCACCTCCCATTAATGGATCAGTATGTCACCATTTCTTTCATGAAATTGAATTGTTTGGGTTCTGTTAATCTGTGGCTTTAAACTGCATTAACTCCTGAGTCCCATATAGCAAGGTTCTGAAACAAACCCACCTCCTCATATTAAAAAGAGAGAGTGAAAGCAGTTTTCTGAAAGTCTTTCTGTGTCTTTCCCCTCCCACTAGAGACAAATGGAAGGGGAGGAGCTCTCTCACTGCTCTTAACCACACTTGTCTTTAGGGGAGCGTGTTGGTCTCAGTCAGCAGTAACTCAACTCTGTGCCATCTTGACTTGCCTGGAGGGTGGTAAATTGTTAACTGCCCGAGAAGGAATAAGTTCTCACAGTTTGGTTTGAGCACCGGCATGAGATTGAATTTGTGAAAGCCTTCCATAGCTTCTGAAGACAACATCCTTTTTGTATGACTTCGATTTTCTTCATTATATTTGTGGGCTGCTGTTTCTGAGGAGACTCCGGAATGACTCTGCTGGAACCTGAGATGTTGATGATGGCTGTACAGTCAGGTAATTTCCTTATTTCCTGAAAACCTCATTTGCCACAGGCTTCTTAAAAAAAAAAGCTGGGCATATTTGTACTAGGATTGGAGAAAGATAAAACATAAATGATCCAGAAAATGCACACATTTTCAGGTTTTTATTGCTAAAACAACCCTATCTTTTCTCTAATTGCAAATTCTAGTTATTCAAACATAGCTTTGAATTACATGCTTACTGATCTTTAGACTCTTCAATGGGGAGATCTATTTGAGAAAAGAAAAACTATTTGTCTTCTTTAATCATTTTATTTTTGCTGGTGACACTGCTTTTAATGAAAGATAATTAAATTGCTTTTGTTGTTTTATACATTACTGTCTTTTTTGGCATTACAGTCTTTAATGACTAATTTATACTCTATATGTTTGTGAAAGCACCTTTTAAATTTTTCCTTAACTGTTCTTTTTCTTTTGTGTGATAACTTTTATATTTATATTTTTATATAGCATCTCTGGACATGCTGTTGATAAAACATAGGGTTGGGAACAGAATTTGAAGATGGGGAAGTTTAAAAAAAGAGGCAGTCAACAGAAAGAATGCAAAATTTTTGAAATTCTATCTCTAAAAATAGTTTTCCAAATCAAGTGTCTCTTAAAACACTTAAAAATTCCAGTTAGTTTTTAATGTTTTCTTACTTTTAGTGTTTTTAGGCTTGTAAGTCAGATATCTAAAAATAGGGAATGTTCTCTTTATTTTTAGAATTCTACTAAAATATAATCTGTAGTGTTTTCCTGTTTCAGAGCTAAAAGATTTGTACAAGTGGCATTTGGGGACCTCTTTCTCATCCACTGGCCTCACTTAAAGGAGAAGAAGACTCCTTGGTTCTGGCAGAATTGATTTCCCTGTTCTCCTTGGGGATCACTTAAGTAGTATGTTTTCAGACCCAGATAGGCATCAGTCAAAGACAGGATCAGATACTGTCAAGTTAAGTCTTATGGACCGGGAAGGAGCAGACAGGAAGGATACTGCCATCATTTTGTTCTTTCTGGTTTACATATACAGCCATTATGAGTCACTTATTGAAGTTTTCTGTTCATATATGCTATGTATTTCAGGTTGCCTTTCCTTTTCCTTTTCCTTCCACAAATCTGTTGAGCTTTGTGTTCTAAACAAGAGAGTATGCTTATCTGAATGTTTCCCATCTGTCTTTGATGAAATAACTCCCAGTTAAACTGACTTGGATTTTTCCTCCTGTCTATATTTCAGTTCTCTGCTATGTGTGGGCAACTGCATATTTTATCTTGAGGTATAGATTTTAGCATTTGAACTGTCTTTTCCTCCTTTGGTCACCTTGTTAATTATAGATCATCTCAGTCCAGTAACTTTTTGTAGCAAAGTTAAAAGATTGTTTTCCCCTGGTAGTCTCAGTGTTCTCAGCCCTGAAAGGGAATGAGAGGTACTCAATATTTTCTTATTTAAGAACTGTTTTTCCTTGGACATATGTTGGGCAGGCTAGTTACCCATCTGTTGAATCAGCTTCTTCATAAAACTTTCAAGGGACAATAGTATGTAAGACAAGTATGGATGAAATTGACAAAGACGTTAGATACAGGTGGAACCAAAGGTCTGCCAAGAAGAGTATGTACATGGACTTTTTTCTTTTGCCTTGTATTCATAAAAACAGAGAAACTGGGTGTAGGAAGGAGTAATGACAAACTGACATCTCAAGTCATTCTGAAATGTTCAAAAACTTTGATAATGTTTTAGTTTTGTTAGATTGTTACCATTTTGTTCTGAAATACAGTAGCCATAAACTGGATTGTAAAAGTAATATGACAGCCATCAAGGAACACACTGTAGTCACTTGTGTTAGGAAATGAAAAGCTTGTGTTATAAAAATTTGGCAAACAAAAAGCCAGTGATTCTTTTGAAAAGCCAAGCCATTTAGACCTTATCCAGGTGAGCCATATATGTTCTAGCAGTAGAGTATCTGTACTTCCATGAATATAAGCTTTATAGGTGAAACTACTGTTGCATATTTTAAAAGTAACTAAATCCCTTTAGACAGAATTTAAGATGCAGAATTTTTACTGTAAATCAGACTTTAAGATACTGAATGTGATAGCAAAGTTTCAGGGTACCTCGTGTACTGTTTAACAGTTTTCATTCATTTGGAGCTCAGAAATTTTGGTGAGACATACTTGTGTATCTGTAAAGGTTTTCATTGTCTTCATTGCTTGGCTCTTACTGATGCTTTGGATCCAGTTAGATGCTGCCTTTCTGGGAAACCTGTCTCAGAATAATTACCCTTCTCCTTTCTACAGTAACACCTTTACTATATACATGAATTATCATTTCTACATGTCTTCTTATTTAGATTATTAGTTACTCAAGGGTATTATATTCATCTGTATGTTGACTTCTGATGTTGGCATAGGATAGACAGTATTTTTTTTTAAGAATTATGAAATTTGTCTTGGTGTACTTCCCTTGATATATAGGTTTATTCTTCAAAGTATTTTGAGATCTCTTCTTGCATTAAGAAAGGAATCCTCTAACCACAATCCTGATTTTAGCCAGTCCTAGCCCAAAGCAGGTGCTGTTGAAAACATGACTTTCGAAATTGAAATTCTTTTACATAGCAGAATGTGCAGTGTGCCCTGTGTGCCTGTGTTGTATATTGCTAGACAGATCTAAGTGTTCTGATTGCTATGGAAACTTACCTAGATCATTATAATAAGAAAATGAATGATCCGAGACGGGCAGTATAGAACTTTTGAAGCCAGACAAAGGGACACTGGGGCACAGCATTGACTCTGGTGTCTTTTAGAGTGGAGGAGTGCTAGGGCTCGGCTCTGGACAACTAGTATGTGAGACTGTGACTAGGCAAGGCACTGTTCCTGTATCCAGCCAGTAAAATTCTCTCAGCTTCCACCTCTACAACAGTCGGGCATTTCACTTATAGAAAAAAGGACTAGGACAGTTTCCTAGCTGAACTTTATCCCACCATACATGCCTGATTTTGATGAGGCACAGTTGGGAAATCAGTTTATTTTTTCCTGTCTTCTGTGTACATATGTATGCACACCCACCACTTGTCTGCATAGGATATCTCTGGAAGGACCATAAGAAATGGGAACAGTGGCTGCCTCAGGGAAGGGGCATGGAGAGGTGGAGAACTGGGATGGAAGAGACTTTTTTTTTTTTTTTTTTTTTAAGGCATAGGCAAGATTTTATTTAGGAAAGTCTGCTTGGTCCAGGAGGGAGACAACATATGGTGAGCAAAAACCTCAGATTGACCCAAAAAAAGGACAAACATGCACAGTTTCTATGGCATCTATGGATTAGGTAGGAACTCCATCTCTTGATGTCTTCACATATGGAGGTGGGATTTCATCTTGCTTATTAATCACATGTCTCATTGCTATCTTAAGTCTCCACTTAGAGGTAGGAAGAGACTTTTTGTTCCATGAAACAATTGAGTCCTCTTTTAAGTTTACTATTATTGGGGGATACTCCATAATATAAAAGAACACATAGAGCATTATTAGATATGTAAAATCTGACCCAAACCCATGGATCCTATCATCCAACTTAAGAAGTAGAACAGACTAACACACTGAAGTCCTTTAATTATACTCTTGACTATGCCTCAGAATTATGTTTTGGTTTTAACTTTATTTCTTTTCAAGATTTTATATTTTCCATTACATGCATATTATATATTAAAAAATATTCATTAATAATTTTTAAAAGTCTCTTCAGTCTCCTAATTCTCTCATTCTCTGGTGTCTGTGGACTTAATTCCTATAGGTTTCTTTAATGTCTACTTCCCTGATCATTATAGTTTGCCTCTGAACTGTGTTTTAAAATAGTATGGGCTGGAGAGAGGTCAGTGATATTTAATAAAGTCCTCAAGGCAAAAAGGAAAAATTATGGGCAGATAAGTTTTTCATTTTTTGCTAGGGAGTTAAATCTTTTTTTTATTAATTTTTATATCTTACAGCAGAATGCATTACATATAGAGCAACAATTTTTCATATCTGGTTGAATACAAAGTATATTCACACCATTCATGTCTTCATACATGTACTTTGGATAATGATGTCCATCACATTCCAACATCATTTGTAACCTCCCACCCCTCTGCCCTATCTTGAGTTCATTTATTCTTCCCTTGCACCCCCTCCCTACCCCGCTGTGAATCAGCCTCCTTATATCAGAGAAAACATTTGGCATTTGTTTTTTGGGGACTGGCTAACTTCACTTAGCATTATCTTCTCCAACACCATCCACTTACCTGCAGATACCATGATTTTACTCCCTTATTGCTTTTAGCATTTTTTTTTTTTAGGATTGGCTAACTTCACTTAGCATTATCTTCTCCAACTCCATCCACTTACCTGCAAATACCATGATTTTATTCCCTTATTGCTGAGTAATAGTTCATTGTGTATATATGCCACATTTTTTTTATGCATTCATCTACTGAAGGGCATTGAGGTTGGTTTCACAGTTTAGCTATTGTGAATTGTGCTGCTATAAACATTGATGTGGCTGTGTCCCTGTAGTATGCTTTTTAAAAAAGTTATATATATATATTTAAAGATGGGCACAATATCTTCATTTATTTATTTTTATGTGGTGCTGAGGATTGAACCCAGTACCTCACAAGTGTAAGACAAGCGCTCTACAGCTAAGCTATGACCCCACCCCCTAGTATGCTGTTTTTAAGTCCTTTGGGTATAGACCGAGGAGAGTGATGGCTGGTCAAATGGTGGCTGGCTCCATTCCCAATTTTCCAAGGAATCTCCATATTGCTTTCTATATTGGCTGCACCAATTTGCAGTCCCACCAGCAATGTATGAGTGTGCCTTTTCCCCCACATCCTCGCTAACACTCATTGTTGTTTGGAGTTAAATCTTTTCAAAGTAGCTTCCCTGTGTCCTCCAGCCTCCAGTCCTGTTGGGGTTCATATTGCTCAGAGGTGCATAAAGCTGATGAAAAACTTTAGAATCATTAGTATCACC